CCTGCCCCACTGCTGCTGCACCTAAACATTTACCCAAAGAAAACTCAACTCACAGCAAACAAACTACTCCTTTCTTAATGCCAGTGCCTAAATCTGTCCTTATTTTCATTCATTGCTCATGGCTACAGCTCTYTGCTTCTATGTAGGTTAGCACCAACTTCTCAGAAAATTATTTTCCCAGCTGACCCATTTTCAAACTTCTTAAAGTTGTGTCCCACTCTGTAAAATTGTTTTCTATGCCAAATCCATGAGATGAGGGCATACCTCTCAGTAGTCTTACACTTTGAGCAGTCTTTTTCCTTTTCATATGGTCCCAAAGTTGCCTGTGTTCTGCACAGATTTGGTAGCTGGAAATTATTTCTCTCAGAAATGAGTATTCATTGCAGAGAGGTTATAGAAAGAATTATTTATGCTGAGGGAGTGAATCCCATTGCATTTTTAGTTTCTCAGATGATTTTTTTTTTTTTTTATCTCTTGTGGTGGATCTGCCTCATACATTACGTTCCATATATGGCCTTGACAAGATGAGGAGACTGGGTATAAGGAAAAGTACTTGTGAATTGGGCAACCCTTCAGCTGATCTGTAGGAGCATAACCATTAGCTGTGGTGAAATAGCATAGATGCCCTTTGGAGGACAGAGCTGTCTCGAGAGCGTTTGGAGGTCCTGGACTTCCACCTAGTGCAGAGCAAGAAGCCCATCTCATCCCTTCAGCACTGTCCTCCCCTCAATTCTCTCCCTTTCCATCCCTTTTCTTAAGAGGTTTGTCATAGTTCAGCACTGGGTTATGGATATTCCCTTTTAGGATCACACACTTGTCTGTCCATCTGTCTTGATGTCTCACTCTGCTGTCTGTCACCATCACATCTCACCCATATCTGCTTCTCATTAATAGCAAAAGGAGAGTCCCCACTGGACCTAGCAGCATGGGATCTAACATTTCTCCTGTCAAAGAATCAGAATGATGTTTGGAGCAGGGTGGGCTTCTTTTGGTTGTTTTATCTGTGGGAGACGGTGCTGAAAGAGACTTGGGAATGGAAGAGGGGGGAGAGAGGAATAGACTTGGGATACAAGAGGCATGGTGGGAAGTGGTTCTCAAAGGGGAAAGTTTTACAGTGTTTCTTAGCACTGGTTACTCCCTAGATTTGTTACATCCCCTCTGAGTGAGCTGCCAGGCCCCTTTTCAGAGAAGGGTTTAATCCAGATTTTGTAATAGGAACCCAGCTCTCAGGATGGGCCGGGTCTGCACAGAGACCCTGATCCATGGGGGTGAAAACCTCCTCTGCAGTAGTGTGAGGAGATGTTAGAGATGGGCCTGCGAGCCCTCTGTTTTCCTGTGGCACCCTGCAACCTTTTGCTTTTTCAGGAAAGTTCGCTGGAAAACCTTCCTTGGAGCTATCAGGAAAACACATACACTGGTCGGCTAAATGAAGACTTGATGAGGACGATAATAAATTCCTGTCGAAGAAAGCCATTTGTATTAGTATGTGGCTCCTCTGTCTTCAATGAAGATATGAGTAGATATTTGAAATCAGCAGGACTTGAAGAAAATTCATGTTTTATCTTTTAGCAGGATATCCCTCACATGAGACATTCAGGGCGAGCCTTGGATATCCTTGTTTCCCTGCAGATACTGCTTCAAATCAGATGTCTCAATAGCTGGAATTTTCTGAGCATGTAGTTTCATAGAYCCGTGGATCAAATATTTCTTGCTAGCATCATTCCCCCTCTTGTGAGTGTTTTAAAGATTGGGTGACATTCCAGACTGGTTGCTACAATCACCCATACCTCAGGGAACAGCATAATAATTTTAAGTAAATTCTTCATGTGTCATTTCAAGRGAGGAATCTCTTAAGGGTGCTAAAAAGCTCCCAAATAAACACTTTTGCTCTCGCATGAAGGCCAGTAACGTAAGTTGAATTCTGTGTTAATGTGCAGTGTTGTGGTGCCCTGCCAGGTGTCCGTTGGAGGGATGCAATCCATGGTTTGTGCGTTGCTTGGAATAAGCAGCGTGCACTGAAGCGGTGGCTCCGATCCGCGTGCTGGGGACAGCGGAGGGGCCTGGACGAGGCTCCCCCAGACCCTGCCTGCTCCTGCTGCAGCTGCTGCCTCGGCTCCCTCTTCGCTCCACCTCGACTGAGTTTGTGACTTCTTCACTYACTGGCCCTGTGAGACTGGTGCTTTGCCAGCATTATGTAGCATATGCAGTATGTTGTMTGTATACATACGCAATATGGAATACGGTCAGAAACTACTCAGCTCTGTACCCTGGCATGGGGGCACTTCTCTGTTAGCTTTTCGGGTGAGATGAGGGTGATGGGATTCCAAGTGCCTGGAATTCATCCACTGAGGATGCAGCTTTTATTGTAACTTCATCAGAGCAAAGATTTACAAGAAGCTCTTCTCCAGGGACAAAATGGGGTTCTGGCTTTTTAACACAGAAATAACCAGGAACGGTGCCCACACTGGATCCAGGGCTAAACCTCAGCCCTGATTTAAGCCTGTCCTCCATGGAGAAGTTGTGCGTAGCGTGGGGTTGATAGGTAAGGAGCTGCTTTCTTTGGGAGCATTCCCTGCTTTGGCCCTAGCCAGGAAGAGGGAGAAACTATTCCTGGGAAATTGCACACGCTGGAAATCTTGTGTGGGCAAGTCTGGTTTGACAAAAGAAAATCTGCCTGTCTGAGATGTCGCTAAAAATCCCCAGAGCGCTTTTGAAATGGCAAAACTTGCCGCTCGCTTTGGGAGAGTGGAGGATTTCCGAGGGGGATGAGGAGGATGGAGCAAGCCACCCCTAAATACCTCCTTAATTTCATCTCATTATTTCTTGCCTAAATAATTCCCCTGTTTCTCCTGGGGACYGTATTTAAACCTTTGATCTTCTCCGACGTCTCGTCGTCCTGATCGCCTCCTCTCTGTTTAAATGAATCCAGTGCCTTTTGGGCTCATGATTTATGGATCTGCCCCCAGGGGGACGGCGGGAAGGGGGAGCCCCTGTGCAGCACGTCTCTAATGAACCCGCCTGGCTCTCCTCCGTAATTACTGCTCCTCTCCTTCCTTCCCTGCGCCTCCCCTCTGCCCTCTGGCCTGGTCCGACGGGAGCGAGCGCCGATCCCTTTCCCAACATCCCTGGAAGTTGCTCCTGCGGCTCCTGCAAAGGCCGGTCTCCGAGCAAGGACCCTCCCCGTAAATATTGTTGTTGTTGTTATTAAGTCCCATAAATATATGCAGGCACTTAATGACCTTGGCACCGAGCGCTTCCCGGGATTAATGACCAGTTGGCGTTAATGGGCCTTAGCGGCACCTCGGGCCACCAGCTCCTCCCAGCCCATCATTAATCCCCAGCAAACRTCCCAGGCATCGATCCTCATTGCTTAATTAATAAATGCAGCTTGTCTCACCGGCTGAGATTTAGAGATACTTGCTGCTTCTTTGAAGGTGACATTTTTTTCCGCCTCAGTCTCTTGGGCAGCGTTTCCTTTTTGAGGCCTTTGCAGGTTTTTTCAGTTCCCAGTGATCGTCTTGGTGTCGGATATGGCAGGAAAAGGAGTGGGTTTGCTCTTGGGCAGGAGGCAAGGAGCCGGAAAGCTGCTGGATTTGGTGCTTCTCCGATGGACACAGCACCTCCTGGCACCACCACCCAACCTGGGATGAGTTCAGCTGATCCTGGCTGCTTTGCAAGTGGGTGAACATTGTGACTTCCCCGGTCTGGATGGGTTCTGTAAGAATTGGTGGGGTTTTGGGTGCTTTTTCTCTGCTGCCCTCCTGCCCTTTGCAAGGGCTGTAGCCCGTTGGGACCGCCTGGCATGGGACAAAAAGCCCTGGACTGCAAGGCCGTGCCGGCGCCTCCGGCCTTTATCAACAGTTGGCTTTGTGCAGCGAGTGCCGCAGTATAAATCACCTGCGCTCCCGAGGTGCTTTTCCCTGCTCCGCCTGAAATTCCCATTCCGGTTCACTGTCTCGCCTGGCAAACTAAATTATTTTCATAGCCCCTTAAGGGCATATTGTCAGCCCAGACTTACTGCCATTATACACCATATCTGAAACATTAATATCTCTTCTAAATATAGTGTATTGACAAGGTATCTGGTACAGTGTAAATCCTTGAGACATTTGATCCAGATCATTAAAACTGAGTGAAGGAAGGGAGGAATAGATCAAGTTACCTTGCCGCTCTTAATTCAAACAAGCGATGAATTATTCATCCCGCTATTAATTCTGCAGTCCTCCCGCTTTTTATTTATCCCTCTCTTTAATTTAATTATTTATTTTTTTTCTCTGTCTCCCGGATAGGCAGCTCGGGAAGGACCCGGCGGTGCCRGAGGATGGGGCGCCGTGGGGCAGGTTGGGTGGCTGTGCTGGCGCTCCTGTGCGTGGCCTGTCCCACTGCTGGAGACAGCAGAGGTAAGAGAGGGGTGAAGCGGGGCTCCCTCCTCCTCCTCCCCTTCCTCCTGCTCCTCCTTTCCTGCTCATTTTGCTGGAGGCAGAGGTAGGAGGTCTGGGGTCACTTTGCTGAAGCATCTCCTCCATTCTGGAGCTGTGCATGCCCCTAAATGCAAGCACACATGCATGCACACATACATGTATGTATACATATGTATGTATGTGTGTATCTGCATGCATATCAGTGTGTGTGGAATGTCCCCGCTGTGGATGACGTGTCCTGCGGGTTGGAGGCAGGTTGCGGAGCGAGCGAGCCGGTGGCCAGGGCTCCACTGAGCCCTCAGCCCGGTGGGTYGGCCGGCCAGGAGCTGCTCTCCTCTCCCCAAACACTGCTGGGTTCTGGGGCCCCGGCCCCAGTGGTGCCAACGGGTRATGCTGGGGGTTGATACCTGTTCCTGATCTTCCAGCTCCCTTATGTAGCCTGAAACCTGATGCCCCCGCGGGGCAGGTGACAGCCAGCTGCCACCTTGCCACCTTATTTATGTCGATGTCCATAGTCCATACCAATTATACCTCAGTGTAAAGATTTCCTTGGAAAATTGATCTGTGCATGCATAACTCATGGGTAAGCAAACTGAGCCATTGATGCCTCTCTCAGAGCTCAGACTCAAGTGGAGAAGGGTCCTTTGGAGCCCTTTGGAGCGCTTCTCCTCTCCTCCTGGAGCAGGATCTGGGCATCCCTGGACGTGCCACCCTTCCAGGCGCTGTTTCCCTGCAGGCATCAAATGTGGCGGGGTACTCTCAGCGCCCTCCGGCAACTTCTCCAGCCCCAACTTCCCTGGCCTCTACCCCTACGACACCGAGTGCACCTGGCTCATCGTGGTGGCCGAGGGCTCCTCCGTCCTGCTCACCTTCAGCCACTTCGACCTGGAGTACCACGACGCCTGCGGCTATGACTACCTGCAGGTCTACAACGGTGTCACCCGCGACCACAGCAACCTGCTGGGCACCTTCTGYGGCCACCAGCCGCCCCCCTCCTTCACCTCCTCCTGGCACGTCCTGGCTGTCATCTTCCACTCGGACAAGCACGTGGCCAGCCATGGCTTTGCTGCAGCTTACCGCAGAGGTAGCCGCAGCGGGGGATGCTGCGTGGGGAGATAGGGCACTGTATCCAGGGTGGTATGGGCCATGAGAAGGAGTGGGATGGTCATCACCATCACCAACTTCTCCTTCCTCCCCCAGAGTGGGATGAGCACAGAGAAGAAAGAGGGTGTCCATCATGGTCACCAACCCCCAGCCATAAGACCATGCTCGCCAACCACTCATCCTGCCCCTGGGGTTGGACGGGCCATGAGAAAGAGCAAGATGGCCATCATGGTCTCCAACCCTGTTCCTCTCTACAGACGTCTGTGGTGGGGAGCTCACGGCACTCTCCGGAGAGATCACCAGCCCCGACTAYCCAGAGAACTACCCCAACAACGCCGAGTGCCGCTGGAGCATCCGGGCAGCGGCGGGCACCAGTGTCCGGTTGGTCTTCGCCGACTTYCAGGTGGAGAACGACGACGAGTGCAGCTTTGACTACGTGGCCCTCTTCGATGGCGCCACGGCAGCAGCCGCCCGCCTGGGCCGCTACTGCGGCAGCAGCCGCCCTCCCCGCACCGTCTCCTCCGGCCACGAGCTCCTCGTCGTCTTCAAGTCCGACTTCAACATCGGCGGCAGGGGCTTCAAAGCCTACTTCTACTCCGGTACGGGCACAGCATGGGCAAGGCAGCCCCACAGGGCTGGAAGGAGGTGGCATCTAAGGGACATTGGTTCACATGGCATGGGCAGGGCCATCCTGCTGCATAGGAGATGCATCCACAAGGATGCAGGGATACAAGTCCCAGGGAACCTCCCAGGGAGGTTCTCCCAGGGAACTCCCAGGGAGTCTCTCCAGGTGGCTTGAGATTTTCCCTGTTTTCTTTGCTGTATTCCCAAGCAGGCAAGTGCCAGGAGGTGTACACGGCCATCCGAGGGAATTTCTCCAGCCCCCAGTACCCCAACTTCTACCCCAACAACCTCCAGTGCCAGTGGACCATCCAGCTGCCCCCGGGCTACCGAGTCAAAGTCTTCTTCTTGGACTTGGAGCTGGAGGGCCGCAGCAGCCTGACGGGGCGCTGCGACTACGACCGCGTGGCCGCCTTTGACGGCGGCGCCGAGGGCGCCCCGCTGCTGGGCGAGCGGTGCGGCCGCGAGCGGCTGCCCCCCGTCGTGTCCAGCGGCCACGAGCTGCTGCTGGTGCTGCGCACGGACCGCAGCACGGCCAAGCGGGGCTTTGCCGCCGCCTACGTCGGAGGTGAGTTGGTGCCCGCGTGGAAATCGCCCGGTTTRGTGCAGGTCCAAAAACCTGTGTTTTAGGATGCAGGTCCTAAAACCTGCGTTTAAGGAACACAGCAGTTCCTTAAAAAGGGAGTGGGAGGAAGGGGCACATGAGGAGCTACTCTAGCTGGAGCAGCTCCCCATCTTCCCAATGGTGCTCACGGCACTCCCAGCCATGAGGTCCCTGTGAAAAATAACCCTTTTTGGGGGGAAAGGTGCGGTGATGGTTCACCCCAAATGCCCCATCTCCCTCTGTGCCGACAGTGGTGCCTGTGAACGTCACCTGCACGCGGACAGACTTCCACATCCAGATCCCTGTGCAGTCGCTGGCCGCGCTGGAGAGGCACCAGGTCTACCTGGGCAGCCCGTCCTGCGCCGCCCACGTGGCYGGCTCCAGCTTTAGGATCCACGCCAGGTTCGACGCCTGCGGCAGCGAGGCACAGGTAGGCTGGGGCGCCGCGGCGGGACGGGAGGGCGCCTGCGCCGCCCCGCGCATCACGCTGCCGCCTCGCAGAGGAGGAACGGCACCTCCGTCATCGTCGGCGTGCTCTACCTCAACTTCTCGGCGGGTGGCCGCGAYGACGTGCACCGCTACGAGGTGCAGTGCGAGCCCAAGAGGAAGGAGGCCCGGGCCAGCCTGCTGGAGGGCCCCGAGCCGCAACGGCCCGGTGCGCGCGCCGAAAACCTCGCCGAGGGCCAGCGGCGCGAGCCGGAGCCGCCCCGCGACACCAGCGACGTGGTCTTCATCAGCATCTGCGTCCTCGCGGGGCTCCTCATGGTCATCGCCATCGTGGGGCTGGTGCTGCTGTGAGGAGATCCCCACGGGAGCCACACTGGGATTTTCCCACAGATGTCTTCCTCCTCCTGGAGAAGCTCCCAGTGGACGCTGCCTTCCCTGCCCTGCTTCCTAACGTCCCTTGGTCTGTCTGTGCAGCATCTCCGGTGCTCTGCAGCTCTTCCCACGTCGGGTTCCGCCTGTCCTGCTGTTGGGAGAGCAGCGTGGCTCTCCCAGGGCTGYGGATCCTGCTGCTGGCTGTTTTGAGCACCCGAGCTGCAACCCAATATAGCAGTATTTTCAGCAAATCTCTTCCTGCCTGGGTTTGTGTRGGCACCCTGGAGCCATGCACAAGGTGGCTGTGGGTGCCAATGTCTCCCTGGGGCAAACAGGGATCTATAGAAGTTATGAGGATATTTCCAGTGGTGTTTTCCAACTTCCCCTTGGAATATTGTATCACACCTGCACATCTTTGAGCACCTCCTTTGGGTTTGTTTTTGCATGTGATCTAATCACCTCTCTCTCCAAACTCACCCAATTGCTTTAACCACCCTCAAAACTTCTGTTTCTTTCCATCTGTGCTTCCCTCCTTCCTACCTCAGTTTTCTCCCTTTCCGGCATGTCCTGGTGACCAGCATTAGCTCTGCAATGGTGTCATCCTTGCAGTCCAAAGCCAGGAGCAAATCTTGCTGCAGCTTTGGGCCCCGGCGCAGCCCGCACTGTGTTTTGCATGGGTGGATCGGGATGAGGCTCCYTGGGGCTGGGGCTTTTGGGGAAAAGCAAAGCTCCGCTGTGTGTTCCTATCCCTGGGTCTCTCGAAGAGCAGCCTCTGGGCTTCCTGCAGCATCTCACCTGTTTYGAGGATGAGAACGTTTATTTAAAAGAGCCACAGCATGCAAAAGTGCACTGTGGTGCAGCGAGAGGCCGTAAAATAACTTATGTCCAGGCACATTCATTCAAAGGACAAAAAGGGGAGCCTGAGGGTAGAAAGCAGCGATGTGAGTAAGTGGGGAGGCTGTTTCCCRTTAGCTTTCCCAAAATGTGTAGCTGTGCTAATGTGAGCACTACATATTTCACAGCACTGCCGCACAGCCCCTCTCGCTGCCAGACCCACCTGCAGGGTTTTTAATGGCAGGGGGGCCTGTGGGGAAGACRCTTCTGCCCTCAGTTCAGCCCTCAGGGACAGGCTGCTGAACCAACTAAATGCCCAGTGCCTGCCAAATGCCACGGGCGGGTCCAGCATTTCCTCCCCTAGGCATTTGCAGCTCCCAAACCTGGTTAGCAGCAACCTCCTCCAGGCATCTCCTGAGGGCTGTTTTGTTGGGATGATGAGCACTCTGCCCTATGAAGGACGGGACAGGGTCTTGCCTGCGCCCTCACTCTCTCACCCAGACAATTTGAGCAAGATAAAGTACCTCTTAGCTGGGCTTGCTGGTGGGCAAGGGAAAACGCTGGTGCCTTCCAAACCCAGCAGATTTGCCTTTCAGAAACTATGGTCAAAAGCCACTTTTGGCAAGGACGATTTTGCAGGAGTGACCTGTCTTCTCTCCCCCTCAAGCCCCCACTTCTCAACAGGTACAAGTGCTAACAGGCAGGTTCCACCCATCCCAAAACGCGTCTCTCTCTGGACAGGCTGATCTCAGTAATCGTTTGTGAACAGTCACTACCTTTGTTGCTTACCAGTAAGAGAAGGACTGTGCCTGTCACAGCCTTAGTAAGGAGGAGTGCGTGGAGGACAAGATGATTTGTGGCACTAAGGAAATCAGTGAAAAAGAGAAAGGACAGATTTCCAATGTTTAATAACTAGTTTATTTCTGGCTCTGTTTTTTGGTTGCTTAAATTTGTTTACACAATCATTCTGAAGTATTTGCTTCCTTTGAAGTTAAAAAAAAAAGTTGTTAAAAGAAGTATTTTCCTTATCAGCTCAGAAATTTCACTTCAAGTGTTTTCATGTTACAGTACAAACAAGCACCACATTTAAATCATGAAYGAGGTATGTATGTTTGAACAAGCTCTTCATTAAGTAGCAAAGAGGCACGGGACAGCACCTATGTTCCAGGGTGTTTCCACCCCAGAGCTTCAGAAAATGCCCATAATTGTTAGGTCACTGAGGCTATGGAATGATGGATGGCAACTCACTGGAACCCATTTCATGTCCAACTATGGGAACGGGAGCAAGGGAAGGATGAAGCAAGGGGAAACTCAGCCGGTGTGGCTAGACAGCTACCACCTGCCTGTATTCAGTACCCAGCTGCAGCAGATATGGCTGATTTAAGGCTAATAAGAGCACGCAGTTACCCACTAGTGCTCTCCTCTCTTAGAGGAATCACTCTGAATTCCCAGTATTTTCTACTGCTACAGCACAGAGCTGCTCCTTTATATTTACACCTGAAGATCCACATCAGGGATGCAGCCAAACTGCAGTAAGACAAACGGTGGCAGAAGTGAGAAACATGCGAGTCAGCGAAGATGGCTTTGTAGCAGGCAAATACACAGCACAGTAGAAGAAACTTTGCAAGAAGCCCAGGAAGATTCCCCCCCCGGTCAGATTTACAGCACCGCTTCCATTGTTCCTGGCTCCAGTTGTGGTCCTGTTCACGTGGCAGTGCCAAGCAAGCTGCATTGTCAACACTTCTGTGCTCCTGGCACAGGGAGGGCTCCCAGCTCCGCAGAGACATGGGGGCTTCCCGCTCAGCATCACTTTTTATGGCTCTGCACAAAGGCAGGGACAGCGAGCGCGCCCGTCTTGACGCCCGCCCGTGTCTCGGGCTTGTGCGTTAATGAGAAGACGAGAGCCCGCACGGTCCTGCGATACGCAGCGCCGACGAGCCGCGACGAGACATGAAAAGCTTCCCGCTCGATATTTTCTGCCAGTGGGTGATCAATCTGAAAACAGCAAAGGATAAAATTAGATCTTTACATTTAATAAGGAGACCAACTGACTGAAAGAGGAGTTCGCTGCTTTTCCGAGTCTCTTCTTTAATCATCTGAGATTCAAGGAAATCTACTTCCCATTACAAGTGAAACAGGAATAGCAATTTAATTCTACCCTGGCAATTAAGGAACAAGGCAAGGTGGTCAGGAGCAGGGAACGCGCTCGTGTCTCCAGCTGGGTGGTAGTACTTTGCCATCACAACAGGAAACTAATCTGCAACTAGCTCTGGGGATCAAGTTCAACTGCAATTATCAGCTACACCGCGCTGTCTCCATACAGCTACTTTTGATCTTGCTGATATAAGGCACCTTGGATACTATTTTAAACTCAATTCTAACAGCAACCCTAAGACGTGCCAAACACTTGGCAACTCAGCCTGGTGCTATAAAGGGAAATGTGGGCTCTGTGTGTGTGGAAGGAGGTGTAATTAAGGATGCAGAAAAGGGATTTGCTAAATGTTAATTATGTAGTTATTGCTTCAACATGCTCTAAAACCTGCAATTTAGCACAGCTTAGGAAAAAAATCCCCTGCCCATCAAGAAAGGGTTCTAATTTCAGTTCTGCCTTTTTAGATTAGGAAGCTCCCATGCTTTTGGATACAGGAGATTCCAGCTTGCCAAGGAGCGTTCTTACCAGTCCTTTGCCCTCTCATTCTCTTTTTTGCTACAGCTTAATTTGTCCCTGTGCTGAGCTGYGCTAGAAGCTCTTTTGTCTCCATTCAGCCCTGCTCCACCTTTGTTTCTCCACGAGCCTTTCTCACGTGTCCCTGACGTCCGTTTGCTGGGCCTCTGTGGCTCCCCTGCTTACATGTGCTGTACGTCCAGCTGATGAACACACACTCTGCACATATGGTGGAAGCTGCGAGCCAGAGGAGCAGTTCCTCGCCCCACTTCCAGCTGAGTTGTATTCAGAGGGGATCCTGCCTGGTTCTTTCCTATCACCACTCGTTTTAGGGTGACACTATATCCTTCATGTCCCATAGGTTTACACTTTATCACCCTTGCCTAGACACGCTTCCCAAAAACTGGACTTGATCAGCAGCCTGGGAAAGTCCAGCTCTCCRTAAAAGTCATTCTGACCTCCCCATCCTTTTGCTCTGTCTCAGTCCAGAAGGACTAGAAGTTGGAGAGGCTGCTTCCATTGCTAACAATGGAAGGTTTTTAACCTTCCATTTCCAACCATTGACAGGTTTTTAACCTTGCTCTGAAACTCTTGAGTGCCTACCACTTGACTTGCCATTTAAGAGATAATTAATGAATACACTAAATGATAATTATTACAGAGTTTCATAGAGCAAGCAATCTGTTCATTAAGCCTTGCAGCAAATCTTGTTTGTGTATGTAAACGTACCAGAGGGATCTCGTATTTAGCACCACTTCATATACTGTCAACCTTGCCTCTCTGTTTTTGCAATAGTTTTCAATTTACAAGTGCTTAATTACTTAAATGTAAAGGGTCCCAGTGATGCTGTCACAGCTATTAAGTAGTGGAGAAAACTATGTTCTACTAACTTCCTTCTTACAGAGCCTAGCTGCAGTAGATGTGCAGCTGTCCCATTTGCTAGATATGCAAGTGAGAGCAGTACACAGTTCACCTGTAACCATGTTCACTTGGTCAAGAACAACAACAATCTACCTTGAAAACAAAGCTCCTTAGAAATACAAACATGCAGGCAATCACAGACAAGAACAGGTCATCTAGCCTTGTCCCCAGCCTGCCTGCAGGAGACCAAATTTATAGTAACTATGTCCAAAAAAAGGATTGTCCAAATCTGTTCTTACAGGATGTTACTCTTTCAGAGACCAGTGGGATGAACTTGTCCTACCTCTAGATCCAGGGCTTTGCAAAGTAACTTCCGYGCGTTCTTCCTGAAAGCCTCAGTCTTGGGGTCACTCCTGACTTCTATGGGGGGTTTGTTTGAATGCTCCTTGATGAAAGTTCGCCACTCGGTGTAAACGCCCTGTGCAAGGCCGGCCACATCGGGGTCTGGATGTTTGCGCATCTTATTCACTGTGTGCCCTGCAAAACAGCAACAGCTCCCGCAGCTTTGGTAGGTGGACACTTGTGTCTAAAGCAAAGGCACATTTGTAATGCTGGCAGCATCAGCAAAATAACCAAGGCACRGGCACAGATGTAAGCATGAAATCACTAGGAGAAAACCCTGAACTCTTATTTATTGAGTTCTGCAGTGGTTCCTGCAGAGACTGAGTGAGGCCGTGTCTGCAGAACAGTGTATGTGCCTAGTGATGTTCATAGTGCTCTGCAGCATTTTCATGTGAGAACACTGCAGTGCCTCCAAGCAAAATCTTTCCTATTGACACGAGTAATTTGTTCTTTGTACGGACACCCCAGGTACTAGTCCAGGGCCTGCCTGCGCAAAGAGACTTTCCTCTGAGAGGAGATGCAAAGGATCCTTTTCCAGCTGGACGTTTTCCGGCTGGTCACTGKAGCGGCAGTGCCGACCGGCGCTGACGCTGCTGGCCGGGAGATGTCACTGTTCCTCGGCTGTGACTTTCCTGCAGCCCAGCAGCAGAGCACGGAGAAAAAAACTTGGGGAAAGGCTGAATAAGCTAAAGATGGCAAACTACATGGCAGTACAAAAGTAAGAAGGGGAAGATCCTGTCTCCTTTTCCACAGCAAGGAGAGCTCTTTGAGCAGAGATCCAGTGGCTCTAATGTCAAAGAAAGGCCAGAACGACCTTATCTCACTTTGGATGCTCAGTGCCACGTGTGATCTTTGCAGAGGTGAAAGGCAGGGTCCATGGGACCTTCCTCCCCCTAGTCCTGTGAGGAAGGACAGGCACAGGGCTGTGTTATGTGCCTGGAGCTGCCCGTCTGCTGGGGCCTTCTCACCGTGTGGATGCATCGAGCGCTCCGGGGCCATGACGGGAAGGGACAACGCAGGCACGTGCCTGCGAGGAGCTCTCCGAAAACTCTGTCATGGGAGRAGCAAGACAGTATTTGGTGACGAGCAGAGAACCTTTCTGAACCTGCAGGAGCCACACGAGTGCTGAGTTTATTTCAGTACCAGTTATGAAGGCTACTGAACACCAATAACTAACTTTTTATTATGTGTTTGGATAAACCATGTGAGACTGCTACTACAAAATCATTTCTATTATATATATATATRTGTATATATATGTTTTAAGGGAASAAAAAGCAGTGACAGGTCTCTCTGGCCCTGRCAACCCACGCAGTGAGCATTGCAGACGGCCTGCGCTCCAGGGCGAGCTACAAAACGCACCTATTTTTGTAGAAAGCAGCACCTCCTTAGACGGGATCTTCTTGTTCAGCTCCTGCAGCGCTTCCAGCAGGTTCTCCTTCGGCTGCCCGGGCAGCTCGAGCACAGATCTCCACCGTTTTATGTCCTCCACAACCACAACCCTCTGCGGAAAGGGGGAAWCAGGGTTAGGGAAGGGGGGAATGGCCTCGCGGCAGGGAGGGCCGGGCCCCTCGGCCCCGCACGTGCCTTGAGCGACTCGAGCGTGACCTGCCGGGAGGCGCCGGGGGCGGCGGCGCCGCGGGGGCGCCCCGGGGCGCGCCCGCCGCGCACCACGAAACGGTCCATGGCCGCCGCGCCGGAAGCGGGCGCCACCCCCGCCCCTTCCTCCTGGTAGTTCCCRCCCGCGGCGAGGCCTCGCGCAGTGCGCAGCTGCGGACTACACCTCCCAGCAGGCAGCGCGCCGGGAGAAGGTGGGGAGTGTAGTCTCGCGAGACGCCTAGCGACGCCCCGCCCCGCGCGGCCGGGCGTTGCGGGAGGAGGAGGAGGGAAGATGGCGGTGTCGCGGGGCTCCCTCTACCTGCCTCTGGCCGTGGCGCTCCTGGCCGCCGGCCGGGCCCGAGCGACCGCGCCGCCTCCTCCGCCGGCCTCCTCCGAGGCCTTCGACTCCGTGCTGGGCAACACGGCGTCGTGCCACCGCGCCTGCCAGCTCACCTACTCCCTGCACACCTACCCCAAGGTAGGGGCCTTGCCCGCCCCGCCGGGCCCGGACCCGCGCCCCGGSGGCAGCCGGGGGGTCCTCTCCCTGAGGGGGGCCCCTTCTGAGCCGCGCTGTCCCCCTTCGGTAAACAGGTTGAGCCCCCGAGTAGCGTAGGATCCCGAATCGCTGGGATGTGGCCAGTTCAGTGCTTGTTGGGAGCCGTGTGGGTTTGGGCTTCTGGTGTCTCCCTTTTTTTCTTCTTTTTGTTTCCTCCCCTTTCCCATGCCCAGAGAGGAAGCTATAATACGACTGGGGCTGCTCTGTGGTTTAGGGCACTAAGTCAGGGCAGTGACCAAGAAGAGCTGCAGATCCTGAGCCACGGCACTGGTTTTGGAGAAAGAAACCCCAAAGATGAGTCACTGACAGAATCACCAGCCTGTGTTGTGGTTAACTGTCACAGAGAATTTTCTCTATTTTGATGAGCAACGTAGAGAAATGGCTTCTGCTGGCAATATATCTTCCACTCCAGAGTTCATTTTCAGTTCCAAGCTTGGGACGGGCTGGAAATTGGGAAATCCATTGCCTGTTCCAGAAATCTCATCTTTTCTGKTCTTTTCTTGGTAAAATACCCGGTTTCTCTATTGCATCTATTTAAGAGGTTAGATTGTAGGTGATGGGAGCTTTTCAACCACCTTTGTGATTTCAACAGGCAGAAACAGGGAAGGAAAAAAGAAAAAGTTAACAACAATAGTATTGGGTAATACRGTGTTGTTTTCATGTGAAGCCCTGAATTTATTTATTTATTTTTTTGACTGAGTAATTTATACTGATATTTTCGCAGAGGAAAGTAAGAGGGAGTTGTGTGGAATAAAAGCTTCATCTGCACGTATGATRTGTTTTCATGCCTTTTATAGTGATATAGAGGAGGAAAAATAGAACTTTAGAGTTAAATTAGGATGAGACATTATCCTAAAATATTTCCTTAGCGTTTTGGCGTAATCTTCTTGTTTTTAATGCAAGATCATTTCAAGTTCAAAAAGGCTGATTATTGCTGTAATTTTATATWTTTTTACAATACCCTCAAACTCTTTATGTTGTGTTGGAGCTGTTGAATGATAGTCATCTCTCCCATTTCATTTATTCTTTGTTCCATTAGTCACAAAACTACCAGCTAAATTGGAGAAAATTGTTTTAACTGAAAAGCAAGACAAAYATTAAGACCTATGTGCAAGGCTACCATAGGAACATGTCTGCTGAAGTTAATTCCTTATGATTATTAATGTATACAACTTGTTTCCTGCAGCAACGTAACTATCGTAACTCTAATAACACTGACAGAAAAGGCTCAATTTTAATCTGTGCTCACAATTTTCTACTTTTCTATGTTCAAAAGCGTGCAGACTTGTGCTTTCAGAGAACATAATGGGCAGTTCAATTAGACTGCATTGTGCAGTAAGGTGTGGTATGTTTGCCTTCTCTTTTATGAATTCAGTCTTTTTCCGTGTGTAAAGCAACTGGCTGCCGTGTTTTGAGTCACTCTGTAGGTAATAGGTTTGRTGCATTTGGTTATGCTGACTGGTTGCTAATAGGAGTGTTTGGCAGTTATTAGTTCAGCTGGGTCACTGTGTTCACCGTGTTTGGGAAGCACATGTCCCTCCTGATCAACTCCATTGCCCTCCTCTTGGTGTTTTTTATAGTTTTATAGTTCCTTAATAAGAAGAAATGATTTAGTCTTTCAGTTCASTATAATAGAAATCCATGTTTGATGTTTGTGGAGCTAGTTTGGCAAGTAACGTGTTAACAGGATACTGATACAGCAGTAAATCAGAAGATAACCTTTTAACAACTAGTTCTAACAAGAGTATTGTAGATATATTGTAGATATATTGTAGCACGTTGTCAAAATATGTCTTTGTTTTGCACCTCAACTCTTGGGTTCTGTTATTAAACTTCTGAGGGGAGGACTTTCAAATTCTTATATGATTAAATGAAGAGTATTGGAGTATGTTTTTTTTATTATTTTTATTTTTTATAGCCAGTATCTCTTATCTTTAAATCATCTTTTTTTTTTTTTTTTTGGAGATACACAGTGCAGCTTTGTTTGCAGTTACTGGAGGCTTGAATGTACAAAACAGTTTGCTCTTCAAGATCTGTCCCACTGCAGAATAATGAACTCTCTTCCAAATAAAGAAATCAGCAGTTATTACAGTGCTAGAGCTGTGATTTGGTTTTGTTTTATGTGATCTGGAGTGTCATGTTTAGCTGGCTGTGGAGGATGGTGATAGGGTGACTTTCGATAACTCTTCCCCTGCTTCCCTTCTCTGCCCCCCGTCACCCACACAAAAAAGAAATTGTTTCTTGATATTTTTTTCTTGAGTGGAGAAACATGAGTCTCTTCTTGTGCCTTCCCAGGAAGAGGAACTATACGCATGCCAGCGAGGTTGTAGACTGTTTTCCATTTGTCAGTTTGTGGATGAYGGCATCGATTTGAATCGGACCAAGCTGGAATGTGACTCTGGTAAGAATTCAGCACATCCTGTAGTTTATAAACAAATGAAGAGAATAGTAGGAATATTAGAGTATTGCCAAGTGGATGGGTTAATTTTGGTGAGAGTTTGTTTTTTTTGGTAACTTCATAAACATTATTTACAGAATATTAAAAGATTTTTTTTTTAATTTTGTGCTTTGTGGGAGTTTCTCCTTAGCTGATATCTTAAATATCAGTTGAGGTAAATAAATTAGAAATACTTAATTTTACTTTAAAAAGCTTGTCTAAGAGGCTAAGTTGTTTTGTTTGGTTTTTAAGCTYTTTTCCGTCAATTATGCCATGCAAYATCAGTCCCATTTACATTCCTAGCAAACCTGGTTATAAAAGTATAAAGATAAATAAATTAACTGGTGTGAGAATACAGATCTTGAAGTTCTATCTTGTAATTTGCAGTCCAGGCTATACCTTGTGCTTTGTCTTTAGCTCTGTGGTTGGGAATGAGGTGTATGTTTTGTTTGAAATCACAGTGAAATATTTGTGACTAATTCTCCCAGGTTGTCTGTGTTAAAGCAAAAATCTCACAGCAAAGATGAATTATGTTGCTGTAGTCCAGTTAGTTTTTTCCTTRCAGTGATATGTAACTTTCTTCCAGTAATGCTGAAACACTTGATTAACACTTTYATTCAGAGCGTAAGTGAGATGTAACAGCCTAAAGCAGGAAAGCTGCTGTCTCTCTTCCTATATTTCAGATACAATTGGGTACCAAGTCAGCATGGAAAAGAGGCTTTTACCCTCTCAGTAATTTATGAAAGCAAGAAGAYGGGTGGCTAGCTCAGACAACTCATGGAAAGTTTGTAGGTAGAAAGCCTGATGTGCAAAGATGTGCTAATGTGAGACAAAGCTGCATTAAATGCTCTAGAAATGGGCTAATGCTCTAGTCTGTCACACGCTGTGTCTAGCTGTGATACAGCATGTCAATCTAGTTGTCAAACCACACATGAGAGAGTGCCATAAAAAGGGTAACGCAGCAATAGACCAAATGTAGAGGTAATTGAACAGTTGCTTACTTTCTGATTTAACTCTTCTTTCTAGGGCTGTTGTCTTTTGCTGGCTTATGTTCTGTAATCTGTTACATTGGTTGGTGCCCTGACTAATTATTCTGTGCTGGCAAGATACCTCCTGGCTGATCTGCTCAGTGCTGTCTTCTGATGTTTCTTTATGAATATGAGCTCTCTTGGGTGGCAGTTTTACCACAGAATAGCTGCTCAGGTGCTGTGAACTGAACACTCAGATGTTTAGCTGCAGATGCCATGCTTCTCGACAGGGTTTTCCATGCCTGTAGTCTTCCTTATGGTGCCCTTACTTGTTTCCCTTCTCCATTGGAAGACTGGGAGAGCTGCTGTCCTGTGTTTCGACTTGATTTGAATATTCAGTTCTTGTAGAGTTGTAATAATGTCTATCTAACTTTAATATTTTGGAGAAGAGCTATTGCCATGTATGTCTGCCTATTTTTTTTTTCTGTGCATAAGTTGTAGGCCATTCAGTTTTCTTCTGACAAAGGAGTCTGACAAAGGAGTGTTAAAGATATTTGTAAAACAAGAAATCAATAGTCTCYGTTTTGGGGAAAAAATGCATAATTAGACTTTCAGTGCAGTTTCTGTACTCATCACACTAGCAGGAGAGTATTTCCTTGTTTTGTTCTGATATCTTAACTTTTGCTTTTGCCTCGAAAGGATTTAATGGACTAATGATCCTTCTGTTAAGTCCTTTTTAGGATCCAAGTTCTGTTCTCTGAGGTAAAATTCATATTTCCTGTGATACAGATAGAAAAAAATACATTAGTAATGGACAAATGAGAGAAAACTTACCCRCTGAATTTGTCCGGAGTAATATTACTGACCTGCTGCCCTGATTCCATTCAGATTTCAAATATATCGTCAGTCTGTGCTCTGATCCCTTTACCTTTGCTAGTCCAAAGAGCAGGTGCTCCACTTGGAGTGACTGCTATATCTTTCTCCAAGTGGGATTGTCGATCTTCAGCCTGCTGCTTTGTTCCTGATCCAAGTTATACTAAAAATGTTTTTCTTAACTAAAATACAGAAATTATCTTCTCATTTGGGGAACTTCTTCCTTGCAGCCTGTACTGAAGCATACTCCCAA